TTCGTCTTCCTCGGGGCGGGCAGGGCTGCAGCAGTTTTATGAACGGCACGGCTGCATCATGATCCCTTCTCCACTGGAGCAGCTCCGAGCGGTTTCATTGACAAACATCCCGGCTGCTGCATTTCTGTCACGGACGTTGTCGAGGAGCGGAGCATCGCCGGGGGGAGCGGTGCAGAGCAGCAGCAGAGGAGGAGGAAGAAGCAGCTGCAGTCTTCATCAACAACAACCGCCGGTGTGAGTCGCACCAGCTCATACACACTAAGCTGTTGATTCGCCACTTTGGACCCGGACTGGCCCCTCACGCACGCCCTCCTCCTCCCCCAGGCACCCTCTCGGGCACTGTCAGAAGAAGAAGCACCTGAGCTGGGATCCACAGCCTCTGTCACTCAGAGCCCTCGGGGGATGTGAGGCGGCGTCGTTAACGCGCACTCACTGGATCATCACTGGATTTGTTTCATCCACTTCCATGACGCGCCAGGACGCACCGATGGAGGATTCTGGACGCTTTTTAAAAACATGGACATCTGCGGGACTGCAGCGGCCGGTGTGTGATGCGAACTGAGCCGTGGGTGGTGTAGACCCCCTCCCAGCACCACACACACCCCCACCGCCTTATCAGAGAACTCTTCCTCCGAGCGGGACGCACAGCCTGGTTTCACTCCACCGGGGGAACATGTCCCGGGCAGCGGCTATAGCCAGCTCCCTGATCCGCCAGAAGCGGCAGGCGAGGGAGCGGGAGAAGGCGAACGCATGTCGCGGCAGCGGCAGCCCGAGCAATAGCAAAGGCGCAAATGAGAAGCCGAGCAAGCTGAATGTGTTCTCGCGTGTCAAACTGTTTGGATCGAGGAAGAAACGGAAGAGAAGGCGACCACCAGGTCTGTGGGTTGGGGCGAGGAAAGTCTGAGAGCCATCACCTCAACCATCTTCACCATCGTCATCACCTCCACCACCTAACACCATCATTTCCTCTGCTCCCTCATCACTTCATCAGTCATCTCCCTCTGGACAGTCTCAGTGGCTCAGGGATAAATCCTGTTGCATGACACCACAAAGGTGCATGTGAATAACTTTGGATTGTCCTGCAGCAAAGTGTTGTAGCAGACTGTATGTGTGGGCACTGATGGAGATCTCCATAAAAAAAGAATTTAAAATTGAGCTGCTCCAACCATCTGCCAATTATTGTATTGATTTTTAAGCGCTCCACCATGTACAGGGGTCAGGGGTTGATAATGGGCCCTGGAGGCCTTGTAATTGAAAATAAATACAGCTTCTCCTCCTCTGACACTTCCGGCTTCCTGCAGACAGCTGGATTTGAAACATGTGATCACTAATAAGGGATGAGTGCAGTTAATGTGACGCCTCTCCTCCTCTCCTCCACTCAGAGCCCCAGTTAAAGGGCATTGTGACCAGGCTTTCCAGTCGTCAGGGCTTCCAGCTGCAGATGCAGCCCGATGGCACCATTGATGGAACCAAGGATGAGGACAGCACATATGGTAAGACCGCTGTTTGGACCTTTACAGAAATGACTACTGAGGTCATTCATCTAATCCATTTTCTTCATTTATCATCTTTTAAAAGTCAACATGAGCTGAATAATCATTACTGATAATTCTGACAGTTATTTTCTTCATTAATCGTTTTGACGAGAAAATCTATCCAAATTGTGGGAAAAAAAGGTGGAGGTGAAATCTTTAAATGTATTTACCAGTAGAACCCAAAGATATTCAGTCAACGGTAACATATTGTATCCCGAGGAAAAGTAAGTGGGACTGTATTTTTGTTCAGTAAAATGAATGAAACAATCACAGCACCTTTTAAGTTCATTAACCAAACAAATATTAATATTAATTTCAAATCCAAAGCTTCAAGGATCTTCCCAAAAATGCGAAGACAAAGTTTTTCACCCTAACAATCACAGTTACAGCTTTAAAATGCAATTTAACTGAGATTTTCTGTTTAAAAACAACAGCGTGGTTCAAGTGTTTCTTATAAAGGAAGCTGACACGTGTGTGTAGCAGCATTTCAACAGGTTGAATTATTATAAATATCTCAGGTCAGGTACTAAGGCAACTCAAATCTTAAAGATAAACATTTATTACTGGAGACTGAAACATGCTTTCTGTTGATCTTTGTAAAACATTGTATTAGTATAAAAACATTGTGTTATTGAACCGAACATTGAAGGTTCAATATTAATATTTAGTTTAAATTTAATCCACTTATACCAATTTTGGATTGATCCAACACCAGTTAAATCCAATTTATAGATAAGCTTCACCCTGTGGAAATCTGGACCTCATGTGGGACTCTAACCTCGGACCCTTCCTCACCAACACATGAAGTGTTCATTTGATTAGTAAAATGGTGCATGTTTTCCCCCCAGCTGCCTTTCTCCATCTAGCTTTCAGCAATAAAGAAATCAATTAAACATCCACCAAACATCCAGGATGTTCAGTGCAATGTTCAAAGCGCTGAAATAGATGGACTCGCACCAGTGAACAGATTCTATATTGCCCGTTCTATCTCACTCTCTTTCTCACACACAGACACACAAATACACACACACACACAGGCCACGACGTGTGATTGATATGGCTAATTCAATCCTGTTGTTGTGGCTCTGATATCAATCACTCTTTCTGGTGCACGGTCCGTGTTGTCAGCATCACACGTTTATTTCTGCTATTTCTCAGGCCCACTGTTGTGCACAGAGAGAGAAAGACGTGGGCACAAAGGAAGCATGTTCTTTAATTAGACGCTTGCATGATGTGTACATCACGTAAACGCCTACCCACATAAATAACCAAATGAAGACTGGGTTTGAATGGCTAATCCACATCTCCATATGACTAGAGGATAGAACATGGACGGAGTATAATCAAACTCCCTGGAATAATGATTATCCTCATTACATAGCTTTTAATGTAAAAACATAAATGTTAGCTCGTGCCTGCTGAACACAAACCACCAGGGATAAACAAGAACAAGCAAAGTGACTTTGTTTTTGTAAACAGCAATTGTCTGTAAGATGAAGCAACATAGGCTTTTGCAGCCACGCAGTCTTTATCTGCAAATCCACCAGGCCTGGAAATCTTCCTGAAATGAAATCGGACGTACTCGCTGGAATCCAACATTTCCACTGGGGAGCAGTTTTACATTTTTGACTCAGATATGCCTCAAGTGAGCATCAAATATTATTTATTAGACAAGACAAGATAAATTGATGATGATGATTTTTTTTAAGAGTTTGTGTCCCCATCTACTTCTTGGGACTGATACGATGTTGTTAAAATAAGAATATTTTTAAAGTAAAGTGCAAACATAAATGCACTGCTTTGTTTATTCTGTTTTCATATCGCCAAATATAAATGCCAAAACCAATATCAATGACCACTGATAAATCTGTCCAACCCTATAGCATTAATACATGCAGATACACATAGAGTCCATGCGGACTGGTCCTCTATGCTGCACATGTTCGAAAGTAAGATTTATTGCTAAGATGTGAAGCCAGTTCATCAGCTGCTAATTTAACAGAAAGGAAATTAATCAAGATCAATTTTGATCACTGTCAGTGTCATTTACCAAGCAACATGTGTTAGAGTTACATCACTGCAAATCACATTTCTTTGGATTTTTTTGTCGCTCGAACAAAGATATTGTTCAAAATATTTCTAGATTAAATAATTCATCGGTCGATAAATTAGTTGATACTGGATGTTACTGTAAGTTTTAGTATTAATAGTGGTAGTTGTGGTATTTTCATTTGTATGGTAGAAATCGATCCACTGAAAATCTAGCTTTGTGTGATAAGAACATTTCTGCAGAGCAACATGACATCAAAAGGAGTAATGTGATGAAAGTTCACATTCATCACAAACATCTGAACTAAGCTGAGTCCAGTTTCTCTGTACAGGACCATTTAGAACCATGGTAGAAATATCTGTAAACTCTGACTCCCTGTGACTTTTCTGTTCAAACTAAAATATTTACCAAACCTTGCATTGCTGCGTGCCCTCTGATAACTCCCAACCTTCTCATCCCATGATCACTGGACTGCACCGGGCACTGAATCATTACTGTAAACCAGTCGCCTCAGCGCCACACTGACCTTGTAAAATAACATCGCTGTGGCAAAGAGGACGTGTCATCATGTAAGAAACAACATTGATACTGATGTGGATTTTTCTGTTGCCTTTTTGTTCACTGTGTGAATGCTCGCTTGTTTGCTGGGTGTGTTTGTGTGTGTGTGTGTGTGTGTTTGTCTGTGTGATAATGTGTATGTGCACACGTACTTAGCTGTGTTCAACCTGATTCCGGTGGGGCTTCGTGTGGTGGCAATCCAGGGCGTCCAGACCAAACTCTACCTGGCAATGAACAACGAAGGCTTTCTCTACACCTCTGTAGGTCACCACACACACACACACACACACACACACACACACACACACACACCATCCTCATCATCATCATCATTAAAGACCATGAGAGACCAAAATTTCTTCTTTTGCTTTTTGGAATCGTTTTCTTTTAAGGTGAGTAATGAAACAGCAGCTTTCACAGTGACCACACTCATTATCATCTTATCATTACATCAATACTTTAACCACAGTGGTGCCTTGTGAGTCGCTTATCATTAGCTGTTATAGTCTGGTGTGCCTCCCTTATCTGTCTCCTGATATTGTGGCTCCTCAGGATTGATTTCATCCTCCAGCCTCCTTTTGTTTATTTCCCCTCAGATGTTACTTTGTGTCCATTTAAGCAAAGCTCCTGAAATTTGTTTCACAACTCGTCATCCACACGTGTCCCTGAGCATAGATTTCCTCACACAGGTCAGAAGGCAGCGTTGGCTGCAGTGCAGCACATTAAGTGCCTCACGTAAAATCTTGAGCTGGGATTTGTGGTTGGTCGAGATGCAATAACAAAAGGGAATCAACAAAAATAACACTCACTTCCAATTTACACAAAGGCTGCGATAGAAGATGAATCAAAAAAAGAGGAAATAGAAAACGAACACACCCCTTGATGTAATAACAGCCATGTTGTTGGGCCTGTGCAGGAACGTACACGCAGCCACAGTATCTGGCCAATCGTTGCCCAGTTCTGCTTCTGGCTTCAGTCATAACGCTGATATCAATTGTTTCATCTTTTCACTTGATATTAAACACAGAAAATATTTTTAGATTCATACACACACACCACATGTGCTTCTTTGCTCTCGCTGAAGATTCTAAAAATCATACCCGCTAAACCCAATTGCAACTCAAACGAGATTAATGGATGACGAAGAGAAAAGAAATCACTCTTTCTGTATCTCTCCGTTTCCCCCGGCAACCTGGGCACCATCTTTCTCTCAGTGGGCTGGTTGGTATTCAAGGGAGTAGCTGGTTGCCATGGAGATGCAGGAATAAGGAAATGCAAATGTCAGCTGTCCTAAGTTGGTGCAGTTTGTTCTTGGAGACCACAGCCCGGCTGAGATAATGATTCAAAGAGCGGAACCAGCTGATGGATGAAAACACTGAGGGCGATATGAGGGAATGATTGAAGACTTTTTAATGGAGTCGCCATTACAGACACAGCGTCTGAGACTCTGCAGCTAACACACCCCCACACACACACACTACACGTCGCCCCGCTCCATGTCTACTTAATCACCTTCTTGTCTTCTTTCTTCTATGATTAGTTCTAATATCCTTCACATTTTCTGCGCAGGAGCATTTTACCCCGGAGTGTAAGTTCAAGGAGTCCGTGTTCGAGAATTACTACGTCACCTACTCCTCCATGCTGTACCGGCAGCAGGCCTCAGGCCGGGCCTGGTACCTGGGACTGAACAAGGAGGGCGGAATCATGAAGGGGAACCACGTGAAGAAGAACAAGGCTGCCGCACACTTCATACCGAAACCGCTCAAAGGTAGGAGTGTGGCAGAAGAAGGAACTACATACACAATCAAATTAGACAAAAGTATTTCTCAGGTTTTATGTCGTCATCCCAAGACTTATTGTATTTGAGTCACAGGTTTTCAGTGTCTTCAAACGTGTCTGGAGGGGATCTTTAAATATTCATGACTAAATGATGAACAAAGTCAACTGCAGGAAAAACTAAATATCAATGTCTAATCATAAAAATATATGTACTTCATCCTGGCAACAAGTCACCACTGACATCTGACTGGTGGAAGGCAATAACAAATACTGAAGTGTCCTATTTGGTGTAAATTTGAAAGTGTAAATAGTGTAAATTCTCAGGGTTCAATATTCAGTGTGAGACAGGGTTGCTCACAGTGATTAATCCTTTCAGTGAATTGTTCTGGTTTTATGACCCTGCGGCTTTATTGATGCTTAATTTATTCTCACCACTTCCAACTATTTTCAATGAAAAGCTCAATAAAACCCCACAGTTCCCAGCGAACTGGTGAACCTAGTGAAGCTTTCAGCAGCTTAAGAGCCGGATGTTTCCTCAGAAATTAGTGGAGAGGAAAACAAAGCTAAATGGGAGAGTGGATATTGGACTTACGTTTATCAATTTCCACACAACTCCCAATGAATGCTAATGTTGGAACTGCAGCTGTGCGTCAATAGGAAACTCCTCATATGTCTGTGTTGTGTGACAGCTCATTTCCGTTGCCACCAAGTAACCATTAAAAAGAAAGAAGGAACAAATTGATACTTCAACGAGAATGGCACCAAGGCCCAACAAGCCCCTTAAATTCAAACTGAATTGCATATACTCAAATATTACTCATGCCCTGAATATGCCTGATTTTCATTAAGGGATCCCTCACATGGGGCTCTTTCTGAGGTTTCTACAATTTTTCCCGTTTACAGTTTTTTTGGTAGTTTTTCTTTATTCTTGTTGAGGATGAGAGGATGTCACATTTTGTTAGGCCCCATGAGACAAATTATGATTTGTGAATATGGGCTATACAAATTAAATCTGATTGATTGATGTGATGAATTATTTGTCACAGTTGTAGAGAGCAGGTGGACCCAAATTCAGGAGTGAGGCAGGTCCAATTAAGAAAAAGGTTGTTGAGAACACAAAATAAGGAGCAGGCCTGACAGGAAACAAACAAGCAAGCAAACTGAAACTGTCCAAGAAAAACAAGGCAGGATAAGGTAATAAATAAACAGGCCGCAAGTAAACAGACGACTCGACAAAGACAGAACTCAGGACTTAAATACAAACTGAACTGATGACAAACTGGAGACAGGTGGCACAGGAAAAACAGGTGAAACAAATCCAGGCACCAATCAAAACCAGAGGGAAACACACAAAGGCAGGAAGTTAACAGAACAGAAACACATGAGATCAGAATTTTAAAAAACAGCAAGCGGAGAACTCACACAATCTAAACACAAGGAAACAGGTAAAAGACATTCAACCGAAAAAGTAGATTATCAAAAGTGCCCAACAAAAATCCCCAAACTCTTGGAAATCATTAAAAATGTCAAAAGGCCATCTTGTAATGCTAAAGTTTCAAAGAAATCGGTCAGTAGTTTTTGTGTAATCCTGCTGTAGGTCCGACAAAACCAGATGGTGATGAAAACATAAACTATGATCTGTTTATCTTTGTTCATTAAAATATCATCATGGTTTTTATGGAGCATTATGGAAAAGTGCCATAAAAACTTAGTTTTGCAGGAATTTACCTCTGACGCTCAAATCAGGACAAACAAGAATTAATGAAACAGTTGACATGAAGCAAACAGTTATCTGCATGCAGGAGAACGAAAAGTACCGAGCTTACAGAGCAACACTGTGCATACAAACCAGACTGATACCATTAGATGAATTAATGAATCTTGTCTTGTGTGTGTGTGTGTCTGTGTGTGTGTGTTTGCAGTGGCCATGTACAGGGAGCCCTCCCTCCATGACCTGACAGAACTCTCACGGTCCGGCAGCGGCACACCGACCAAGAGTCGAAGCGCTTCGGCCCTACTTAACGGAGGAGGGAAATCCCCCAGCAACAATGACTTATCCTAGCCCCACACCCCTCACACACACACACACACACACACGCATATACACACAGACACATGCACACACACAAATCTCAGGCGGAGGGAAGACGCCCAGCAACAATACCTTATTCTAGCCCCCTCATCCCCCACACAGTCACACACATACACATGAATACACCTCCAAGCACACACACACACACATGCAGACACACACAGATCTCAGGCCGACATGCCCACACATCAGGCAGGTGAGGGTCAGGAGACGGGGCAAATGGAGGAGGACAGGATTGTGTTCTTCCACTTCACGGAGCCCACTGTGACTGACTGTGATGTAAATAAATCAAGGACAATCAAGCCGTCTGACTCTGCTGCTCTGGTCTGCAGACGGACAGGACCTGTGAATCTCTTCCCTCGACGACTCCTCCCGTAAGGCACCCAGACAGAACGAGGGAGGGAGAGGAGGAGGGATGGAGAGACTCAGTCAGTCAGTCAGTCAGTCACACAGTCCTATGAACAGACTGTTACAGAGAACCAAAGAGTCCAAGTATTAGCTAACAAAGTTATCGCTATTAAATAAGGCAAGTGACAAGAAAGAGCAACAAAGGGGAGGAGGAAGGTCTTTATCTACTCTACCATACGCTATGTTTACACAGAGTTCATGGGGTTAAGTCATATTTTTAAAAATGGCGATCGTATTCCTCGTACACTTACAAGGACTGATCATTTGTTTGCATGCAGGTGCGCCTGTGTGTGTGTGTGTGTGTGTGTGTGTGTGAGTGGTCAGGGTTAGCGTGTCATGCTCTGCTCTCGCAGCAGGTGTGCATGTGTGTGTGTATGTGTGTGTGTGTGTGTGTCTGGGCAATTGAGTTTGAGTGTGTGCAGACGCATCTGTCTGGGGGGGTGGGATTTTACCTTTTTAAGATCTGTTGTATATCAGACAAAACTCCTGAGGGCTTTAGCAGGTTAAAATAAGGTTACTGTATATGCTTCCATGCTTACTTCTTACAAGCAATGCTGTTGTTTATCTTCCGTTCGTTGTCGTCGTCCCTTGCTGTTTGTTTGTTTGTTGTTGCATGGAAGCTTGTGGACCTCTGCTCAGTAGCAGCATGCTGAAGGTCCTTTTTTTTTCTGGTCTTACGTGTTCCTGACCAAGAGAGAACACTAGTGAGCCAATAGTGTCATACCACAACACTAGTGAACCAATGTGAGGGTGTTAGAACACTACTGGACCAATAGTATTGCACCAGAACATGATTGGACCAATAGTATTGCACCAGAACATGATTGGACCAATGGTGTTGGACCAGAACTTTGGTGAACCAATAGGAGCACAGACTAACTTAATATTTTGGTTCCTGCTGTGGACAAACTAGAAATGCACTAAATAAACTCTTTCTAAAGAAGTGAAGCCGCTGTCTCTTCTTTTTCTGTTTATATTTATATCTTTTTGTTCAGGGGGTTCCTCCGTCCTAGTTTTGTTCAAAATATGTCAAGAACGCCTCGGGGGAACTTCTTTATATTTGGGACAAACGTTCAAATTGACAGTGACCCCATGTTCTTGTGAATGTTATATATCAAGAACACTGAAAGGAAATTTGATTTCACTGAGCACAAACATTCATCTGGACTCAACTGATTAGCACCTGAAGGTAAAAGGTCACAGTGACCTCACAAAACCCTTTGAGATAATCTTTTCACATGAACTGGTTTGATTTGTGTGTTCAAAGAACAAACATCACGTTGGCCTCACAAAACATATTTGGCCTCTTGAACATGATTTCTCAAGTCTGTCTTTCATCGAATTTTGACCAGTTGTCACTTGGACTCAAAGACGAACTGATTAGATTTCAGTGGTCAAAGGTCTTGTCTGCAAAAAAAACAAACTGCAGAGGTTGAGAAGTGCTTTATTAGTCCCACAATGGGGGGGAATAATAAAGCAAACAACTAGAGTTTAATGTTGTTTTGCTTAGAGTATAACATTAGGACTTAAATCAGCATTGTAAAGAGGTGCAGGTCATCCAAATGACAAGAAACACAAGTTAATACTCTTTGTAGTGTGCAGGCACCATTGTTTCAAGTGCAGCTGGATTGAAAATGTGTTGACTCCTGTTTGCCCATGTATCATTACGGATATGTGAAAATTGAGTGTTTATCTTTTATTTTCTTATTTTTTATACACGAAGTAGCCAAATGTGTTTACCATAAAAAAAACAGTGAGCAATGCATGCAAAAAAATGTTTTCGCTGTTGAGAGACACAATTCTCTCGCAATGTATTTACACTAAAACATATTGGTAGCTGTTCAGAGACGGGAACAAAATTAAAACTACTTTCTTAGGCATTTTGTTTCAACTTTACAAAATACTAGAATTTATTTCTCCACTAGATGGGGACAAAGGACCAAAATTGTGACGTCACTGTTTGTTGCTTCCACTAAACCTGATCAAGAAATTTAATGAACGAACATTGAAACAGTGAAACAGCTCAGCGGTTAGAGGAGGTCGTCCACCAACCAGAAGGTCAGGAGTTCGATCTCCAGCTTCTCCTGTGTTTTGTGTACTGAGGCAAGATACTGAACTGTGTGATAGGAAAAACACAACATATAGAAGCGCTGGATGATTGTGTGTGAATGGGTAGCATGTGCTGGCCGACTAGAAAAGCGCTATATAAACACAGACCATTTACAATTTAAACAGCACAGTAGACAAAGTTGTTTGATAAAGTTACCATTTACTTCAACATGTGTGTTTGTTCATATCTCGGTGACGAGCAGGGAAAGCAGACACTTGGTCACGATTCTGCTGAGATGGAAACAGAGGTGGATTTCCAAAACATTTGTGTTATCACAATATACAACAAAATAAAGTGCAAAAGGCAAATATGAAAAATATACACATATTGGTTAAAAACCCACTAGTTTCACATTGCAATAATTAACATTTACTCACTGGTTTCAGGAACAGTGTCACACTCTATATAACTTCACAACATGTGAGATGCTTCTCTCACTAATTACGATAATTTAAGGTAATTAAAGAATTTCTTTACTTTGGTTTTTCATTTTCCATGACACACATCATGTCAAATAGAATAAAATCAGTGGGTGTTTACAGGAAGTCTTGTCTGTAACTCTGACCTCACAGCGAACCACACTCTCCCTTTGCTGCTACGTCTATGAAACAATCACATAGTCACTCTCTGTGCAAATGTATACACACATGCAAACTCACACGAACATAAACACTTTCGTCGTGATCCACGTTAATACTGAACCGGTGCATCAGTCGAGTCAGTCGTATTTACAGTGGTTGGGACGGCACCGTGCTGCCCGTACTTGCAAAGATTCCTGTATGTTTATAGATAAGAGAAGGGAATGTGTCTGTCCTCCCCCTCCTTCTCTTTTTCCTCTTCCTCTCCAATGCAGCGCGTTCTTGTTCTTCATCTGCTCCTTCCTTCCTTTACACATCCTCGCGTCTCACGGCTCAGTTCTTTTTTTCACCCTATAAATCTGGCTGTCGATCCATTCATGTTCAGTCTAGGTCGCCTTCTTTGACTCCCACTCCTGGAAACCATGACACAGCAAAAAATGAGGAACACATTTCTCCCTGTGTGCATCACACACACATGCACACACACACTTTACCTTCTTCTTCTGCATGACATTCCCCTTGGAGGAGGCGTAAAGAGATGGAGGTCGTTTACGAAGCTCAGATGCTGAGTTCACCGGCACAGTCTCATTGTAAACCTTTTCAACTTTACTGCGCGGTGCCTGCACACACAAGCACATACACACGTAGCAGGACACACACACACAAATGTCAGATTCAGCAATTACATTTGAAACTAGAATGCCAGTAGAGCTCATACTCCACCAAGGCCCAACCACTTTTAAATTCACTAGATCACCCCCCAGCTTTGTACCAAAAGTGGTTGGGTTCTTTTCCTGACTCATAAATATCCTTCAACAAAGTTTTGTAGAAATGTATCTGCATAATCTTGTTACAATCAAACAACCAACAAACAAATAGACAGGGTGAAATTATAACCTCCTTGGCGGAGGTAATGATTTGGAAATGAAATCCAATGATCTCTGACACATCTCTGCCATGTAATTCATAAACTCCTCCAGATGTAGGAATTGTCAAAGTCAAAGTGAACTTTATTGTCATTCAGACCACACAACAAGAAGTTCACAGCGCAACGAAATTGCATTTCTTCCAGCTCCATGTGCAAATATAAAAGTCAAGTAACTTATCACAAAAAAAATAGACAAAGGAATGTCTTTAGGTCTTTATTGTATAAAGGTTTCAGTCTGTGCTTCAGCTTCCTACCTTCACACTGAACTTGGTGTCAGTGGGCGGACCCAGTGCTCCTCTAGCCAATGATTTCTTCAGGTTTTCTTTGACTTCTGTCAGTCGGAGCTCCAGCTCCACCCTCTCCTCCTCTTTCTGTTTACACAGCGTCTCCAGCATGGCTAACCGCCGCTCCAGAGCTTGACCTGCACATACACACACTGATAGTTAGTACTACTGTGAAGCTGACAGTTCTTCAGTGTGTGTGTAATTTGGGTCTGACCTGTGCCGCTCTTCATCTCCTCCTTTAACTCCTTCTTCTCCCTGCGGAGGGAAATCAGTGCATTTTTCAGCTCCTCTTTTTGCTTCTCCAGCTCCTCTTTCTGCGTCAGGTACCGCCTGGCATCCTCCTCTGCTCGCGTCTTTCCATACCGTCCATACTGATTTACATCTATCAGAAAACACACAGAGTATATGTATATATGTATATATGTATATATGGAACCGGAGGGACAATGATGAATGTTACTTCATGTAAACAGTCTAATAAATTATGACATGAGACTCACTGGAGACGTGTCTCTTTATGGCAGCCTGCTGTTCAGTCTTTTCAGAGTCTCTGCTGGAGAAGGAGGCGTGGCGTCTCACCTGGCCCGCCCTGCTGTCAACATCTCTGTCCTACAGGATATGGACAATTTAAGTACATTTACCCCCCCCCCCCCATCCATCCCCGTGCTTGGAAATCTTGAATTCAGATATCTTGTATGTTATCGCCGGTTCACATGATGTTTCCTCACCTCAACACTTTCATAGACCTCATCATAAGTTCTGGAGTCTGTCGAGGTGCTGCTGGAGGAAGTAGCAGTGGTAGTGGCCCACCTGACAGGAGGAAGAGGCAGATGTAGTTCAGGATAAAATAACAAGAGACAGAAGACTACATGCAGAAACACACACACGAGGAGGTGACTCACAGGAAGGAGTGTCTGGCAGCGTGCCGTATGTCGGTGAGAGTGTCCACGTCGATGTAGTCGTAGTGCAGCTCTTCAGGGAGAGTGGAGCTGCCGGTCTCTGCAAACAACACACCGAGCCAGCGGCCAAGATCCTCAGAGCAGCTGGCCTGACGGACACACACATAAACCCATAAACAGTTTAGCTTCATGGTTTCCAGAAAATGAAGGTGAGTTAAGGTGTTAACTTTGTCTTCATTAAATTCTCTCTTTTGATACGACAGTACTCTACCTCTAGAACTGCCAGTTCATTGCCTCCCTGCAGGATGCGGAAGGAGAAGGGGTGTTTGGGGCCGGGGCCGCCCGGCACCACTTCTGCCCCTTTAAGCGGCACCGCAATGACCGGGGGCCTCTGTTCCCCAGGTTCCTTCTGCAGGTACAGACTTCCTCCTTGCACCACACACCAGCGCTCCTTCCATGAGCCACTGAGAGATGCACTAAGGTAACCTGACGAGAGAGAGGAGGAAAGTAAAAGTGATGATCAGAGAAAAAGATGGTTAAGTATGAAAACAGCTTAACTGTGTAACATGTATTAGTAACAATGAATCAATCATTCTTCAAGTGCTGTGTAATTTCAAGTGTAGCCTGCATATGTGAATAAAACATGGTTTATTATAAAATGATTATGGTCTAAATTTGTCTGTTGATTTTTCTATTTATTGTCTAATGATGTAAACTTATTCCTTAATGTGTTTTTTTCCCCCAATTGTAAATAAAGGTTTAGCTCAATTTAAGAGCTATATATTAACTATGACACAATGATTCATTTTACAGCAACATATACATTGGTTATATGGTTATAAGTCTACAATTCTACTTCTTATCAATAACGTAAAACTTCTAATAATCAATTGACTATCAACCAAATAGCTCCTTGATCAGGTTGTGTTCTCACCACAGCGCGGGTTGTCATGGTGACCAGCAGAGGATGGAGCCTCTCCCGGTAACGGGGGTTTCCGTTTGGAGAAAGTGATGATGCGATTGATTTTCTTCCCTGCTGCTCGGCTCATCGACCCCGTCAGCTCCGAGAACGCTCCGCGCTTCCCCCGATCTGAAATCAAACGTACCTCGGTCAAACTGTGCCTTAGATGACGGTG